CGAACTTTTTAAAAATATATATATTTTTATTGATTTCAGAGAGGAAGGGAGAGGGAGGGGGAGATGGAAACATCGATGACGAGAGAGAATCACCCCTCAGCTGCCTTCCGCACCCCCACACCGGGAGTGGAGCCCACAGCCCGGCCTGTGCCCTGACCGGGCATCGAACCGTGACCTCCTGGTTCCTACATTGCCACTCAACCCCTGAGCCACGTGCCTGGGCTCAATGTGGACTCTTAATGCTCCCCTGGGCCGGAGGGCCGGGGTCAGGGCCGGCACCCAGCTGCCCCTCTCACCCGCAGCCGGGAGGGACAGCACGGACCTCTCCCAGCGAGGCAGACGCCACACTCACCCACGTGCACACATCGCCCGGGTGCCCTCGGGCAGAGTCTGAGCTCCGGACTGGGTGTGTGGGGGGTGTCAGCTCCTGAGGCTGCTGTGACAAAGGACACGGTCTGTTCTCCCCCAGGTCTCAGTGCAGAACCCAAGCCCCCACTGCGGGCAGCGTTTCCGTCTGAGGAGAGCAGCCCCACCCCCGCTGACACCCCGCCAGCTCCTGCGCCGCCTGCACTTTGGGGCGCCCTCAGCTCCCAATCACGTGGCCTTGTCCTCTGCGTGTCCTCTCCACGTGTGACCTCGTTTTAACTGATTACAGCGGCAGAGGCCCCATTTCCAAATAAGGTCCCGTCCTGAGGTTCGGGGTGAACGTGAATTTTGGGGGACACTGTTAAAGTTGTCCAAGGGTGCCTGTGCGCATGTGTGCATGCGTGTGCACATGTGCCTGTGTGCACATGTGGGTGCCTGCCTGTCTGTGTGCACGTGTGCGGGCATGCATGTGTGAGTGTGCAACGCTAGGTCTCAAAGGTCACCCAGAGCCTGCGGCGGACCTTGCCTTGCTCTGCAGCCGCCAGGCGCCCCCTCCCCCCGCCCCCCACAGCCCTGCACTGACGGGCGGACCCGGGAAGCACGGGGCTTGTGCTCCTGGTTCTTTCCTTAAAACCGAGTCTCCGAAGTGGCGCGTGGGACCCGATGCCATGAGCACCTTCAGACTCTGGGTGCCTCTGTCGCCTCCTTTCTGGAAGGCGTCCCAGCCCGCCCCCTGCACACCCTGCCCAGCCGCCGCCATCGGAGGAGACCTCGCCCCTGGTCTG